TGATCTACCATGACTTGTGAATATATTTTCTTGTACTCTTCAGTTTAGGGTATGGATCTATAAGTGTGATTTGGATATTATGTTTATCCAATTCTTTTTCTTGAATTGAATGCTATATTTTTATTATTTCAAGATTGATTGAATGTTTATAGCATAACTCTATACTCTTTATAATTATTTAATTATTCATTAACTTGATTAACTCTTGGTATGAATAATACTTATAATTCCATGTGAGTTTATTGGATTAGAACTTCAATTTTTATTCTCTAATCAATCAAATTATTTGTTCTTCAAAGTTATATTTTTCGGTTGATTACACCATCGTTGGAAATCAATTGAGAAAATTTAGAATTGCTTTACTATTATTATCTAATGAATATGAATGGACCCAGATCCCAAAAATAAAGAATCATATTTTTCAATTGAAATTTATTTGTAATTAAATTATTAATTTTCTAAATCTAATCCAGCTCTCAATTCAAGTTTGATTGTTCTTCTTTTACCTACTTTGCAAATTACCTTCAATCCCAGTAGTTTAACCTTGAACTTCATCGAGAATTATTATACTTGACTACTTGTACTTGGATGCACTCTTTTGGTGAATTTTGATGTAAGGATTTAATTGAAACACAATTAAAACTTCAAGAATTTTTTTTTTCTTCTCCTTCTTGTTGATGATTAGCGGAGAAGAAAGACTGGCAATCCAACTTCCCAACACCTTTCATTGTTCTCAAATGGAAGAAAAGTGTTAAGAGACATGACATGCCTTGGTAGGATGTCTTATTCTCAAACCACTGTTTTAGCTAATGATGGTGCTACGAGCCTTTTTGTTTACAAATTCGTATTTAGTTTTTTCACAAAAATGCATGGTGGAATTTGAAAAATATCAACGCTCTCTATTTTAATATCATTCTAGATTAAAGAAAGATTAGCTTTGATCACTTCAGAGCATATATGTATATCTAATGTTTCTAAGATGGATCAACATTATAATTTTTGTTAGCATTATAAACTATTTTTTTTGGGTATATTTAGCATTATAAACTTACATATCCCAATATTATAATTATTTTAGATACTTTGGACATTGAGCATCATTTTAGCAAACAATATATCTCTGAAGTCGACTACAAAAAATTCATTTATTAAAATTTTGTCTTTGTAAATAATGTGCATGCAAACCAAATCACTATGAAACCATTGCATATGGTTACACTGAACATTTCTACTACTGAAGCAAAGATGTCTAACAGTTTATATTGCATCTTTTACCATCAAAGTTTACACCGATTTTTATTTTGGTCATGAATGTGTTTTTTCTGCTATTTTTATCTTTCAACTTTCGACTTAAAGTCAATTTAGCCCAAATCAATTATGTGTCAAAAATTTGATGAAAAGTACCGCGTGTCACCATAGATAAGTGACATGTGTGCATAAAAAGCCACGTGTTGTTGTGAAAAATGTACGTATTTTATTTGGTGAAAAATTTGCCTACTATTATTGTAATTTGGATTGAACGAACACTGTGTCATAAGTTGAAACACAACGTGGCGCAAAAACATTTGAGGAACAAAGTGTGAATGGGCTGATACTTTAGAGGTTAATGAAAACTAAAATTTAAAATGCAAATCAAGTTTAAACTGCTAACAAAAAACTAACTCACATTAGGTCATGACCAACGGCTGACATTAAAGATCATGTTTCGAAACAGGCAAAATAGTCTAAATGTTTTCGTTTTTAAAGAGACAGACACAAATCAGTGATGAAATCAAAATTTTAATATTTTTAGGTGTTTTGACATATTTTCACCATTATTTTGGAATAGTTCAATGTGTTTCAAAATGTTTCGGTAAATTTAAGGTATATTTCCGAATGTCTTAAAAATCAATCTCAAAATTTTTATTCCTTCTTATTCTGTTTCTTAAAGATTTCTGGTTTTTAAGTGATCAAAATAATATATCGAAATAAAATTTTGATCTTACATGAACAAACTTATTTTTTCTATGAAACTAGAAGTGTCAAAATTAAATTTTTTATAATTTCCATGCAATAATATACCATTTTTTTTTTTGAATCAGAAGATACCATTTAACAGTGTCTGTTACAAAACAACAAAGCATTTACCTAATATCCTTGACTTCCCCATGAAACTCGGCCAAGCTTATTATGTGCAGGTAACCTGGACCATTCTGATGAGATTGGCTAAAGAATAATCATATTCAAAGACAAAGAAGACCACAATTAAAATCTATGTACAGGCAATCTGGACCAATTCTATGTTACCCTGATGAAATATGAATGCATTGTGAGGGGCACTATCTGTCAGCAGCATGTGTGTGTGTGTGTGTGAGAGAGAGAGAGAGAGAGAGAGAGGCTTCTTCAAATGGAAGGAATGGAATCAGTATTTCACTGCCATGCATGAACATTGCTCAGTTTCAGCTCTTTGAAGACAACTCCAATCTAGGAACAGTGTCTTGGGGGAATAAACTTTTGCTTTTACATTTCGGTTTCAAGTGTGAGTCTCGTAAAAAATATCTCATCGTTCATGAATCGATACGAGTTGTTTACAGTTGTCTGAATATATTTAGATTAAAGTAATTATCACGGATCNTCATGTTTCGAAACAGGCAAAATAGTCTAAATGTTTTCGTTTTTAAAGAGACCAACACAAATCAGTGATTAAATCAAAATTTTAATATTTTTAGGTGTTTTGACATATTTTCACCATTATTTTGGAATAGTTCAATGTGTTTCAAAATGTTTCGGTAAATTTAAGGTATATTTCCGAATGTCTTAAAAATCAATCTCAAAATTTTTATTCCTTCTTATTCTGTTTCTTAAAGATTTCTGTTTTTTAAGTGATCAAAATAATATATCGAAATAAAATTTTGATCTTACATGAACAAACTTATTTTTTCTATGAAACTAGAAGTGTCAAAATTAAATTTTTTATAATTTCCATGCAATAATATACCATTTTTTTTTTTTTGAATCAGAAGATACCATTTAACAGTGTCTGTTACAAAACAACAAAGCATTTACCTAATATCCTTGACTTCCCCATGAAACTCGGCCAAGCTTATTATGTGCAGGTAACCTGGACCATTCTGATGAGATTGGCTAAAGAATAATCATATTCAAAGACAAAGAAGACCACAATTAAAATCTATGTACAGGCAATCTGGACCAATTCTATGTTACCCTGATGAAATATGAATGCATTGTGAGGGGCACTATCTGTCAGCAGCATGTGTGTGTGTGTGTGTGTGTGAGAGAGAGAGAGAGAGAGAGAGAGGCTTCTTCAAATGGAAGGAATGGAATCAGTATTTCACTGCCATGCATGAACATTGCTCAGTTTCAGCTCTTTGAAGACAACTCCAATCTAGGAACAGTGTCTTGGGGGAATAAACTTTTGCTTTTACATTTCGGTTTCAAGTGTGAGTCTCGTAAAAAATATCTCATCGTTCATGAATCGATACGAGTTGTTTACAGTTGTCTGAATATATTTAGATTAAAGTAATTATCACGGATCATAACATAATATTAGGAGGGACCTCAATTGTGAAAGGACAAGATTTTGCAAAAAAAGATGTTGACCCAGATCATTTAGATTGGATGACTTATCTTACTATTAACATTTTAACCACAGTACACCTACCAATTTACATTTAACCTTCTAAACACAATAAATTTTTTACATATTTACCCTTTAACCATCATAAAATCTTAACCACACTAAATATTTTAACTATAGTAAAAATCTAATTACAGTAAAAAACACGTGATTTACAAAAAAAGAAAGGAAAAAAAATATAGTCTGACTATGACTCAATCCATTCAAAAGAGTTTTGGTTATTTCCTCCTGTTCTTATTACATACTAAAAAGTAGCCGTTGTAACACATAGCAACTCTAAAATCAAACTTAATACAAAAAGTAAAAGCATAATTTCCATTTGTAACAAGAAGTAGCCGTTGTAACACATAGCAACTCTGAAAATTGAGAAGATAATATCAAACAATCAATCTACTATAATTAATCTCAAAACTTAAGTTGTTATAGAATGAGTCCAACAATATAAGTTTACCTTCCAACATCAGCAAGTTGGTGCAACTCACTCACGCGTAGAGTAGACATATAACTATGTATATCGATGTGTAAAAAAATTAAAACTGGGTGCAACATAATACACCAATACAAAAGAATTCAAACTCGTAGGGAAATTTAACCATTATACCATGTCAAACTATTACTATTCATTATTTTAAAAATGAACCCACCAATATTTATTCAAACAAAAAAAATAAAAAAAAATCACATTCAATGAGCGGTCTTTACAGCATTCCGCTATTGAATTCTCAATAACAAGTTGAGTTGGCATTTGACCACACAACCCATGTTCTGTTCAACAAACTTTACATTATTAATGGAGTTCAATTCTTCGATGGCTTATCTTCATCTTTGAACAATTCAGAGAGTGTCCTCTAGTTATTTGCGCCTTTTAGGACACTTCATTAATTTCTGTACATATTTAGTTATCTCGTCTCTCATGAAATGGACAATTATCTATATTATAAAATAGAATAGGTTTTAATAAGTCCATCTGACAATCTCAAATAGACTCATCCAAAAACTACCAACATCTCTCTCAGTTTACATTGTATTATGTCTTTAGGCATGAGTTACTCTTAATCAATATAAATACGTGAAAGTCGCTTATTAAAAAAAAATCGAACTTATAATCTCTGGCTTTGTATAGTACAATCATGGGCAATCTGTTTTCTCGTTTGGGTGAATTGCTGCCATATGGTTCACTAGAAGTAGTATAAGGAAAAATTGTATTGATTAGGGCAGACAATGACATTCTGTAACTCCCAAACAGCTGTACTGTGTAACTTCACAGTTTCATCATAGTGTTTTTTGCTTCCTTTTGTATGGAAACTTTTTTTGACAAATCTGTTTGAAGTTTAGCTATTTGCTCACACCTTCCACAAATTTGTTTTTTTTTCATACTTTGTATTACCATGGGGATGCCCATGCTTTTGTATCTCTTTTGATATGCAATTCATCTTTACTTTCTGGCATGACATGCAAGTGATTTTTGTTTAATGGTACAGAGTTACTTCTTTTACTCACTTTAAGCAATATAGACGGACTGAGATTCCGTCATATATATATATTTTCATATTCTTTATTGGTAGATCAACTATACCATAAATTTAAGTGAGATTAATTGTAAATGAGTGAGTCTTTCATTAATGCACGATAAGGTATCCATCAAAAAAGACAACTGGAGGAAAAGTATAAAGAAATTTTCCATCAAACACTTAAAATGCTCAGTTTTATGCACAAGCTTTTCTAAAATGGGATTGCAACAGACTTGCACTAAATTATTGTCAATAGTAGTTACAAGCTGAAGCGAAAGTGTATGATGAATCAGTGATGAATTTGCGATCACAAGCTGAAGCAAAAGAGTATGATGAATTTGTGATCACACTACCATTGTTCTCTCTCTCTCTCTCTCTCCCTTAACTACAGAATTTGCGGAANAGAGAGAGAGAGAGAGAGAGAGAGGCTTCTTCAAATGGAAGGAATGGAATCAGTATTTCACTGCCATGCATGAACATTGCTCAGTTTCAGCTCTTTGAAGACAACTCCAATCTAGGAACAGTGTCTTGGGGGAATAAATTTTTGCTTTTACATTTCGGTTTCAAGTGTGAGTCTCGTAAAAAATATCTCATCGTTCATGACTCGATACGAGTTGTTTACAGTTGTCTGAATATATTCAGATTAAAGTAATTATCACGGATTNTTTGGTGAATTTTGATGTAAGGATTTAATTGAAACACAATTAAAACTTCAAGAATTTGATTATTGGAATTGGACCTTTAATGATCAAATAAAAATTACTCGCATAATTTAAGGGTATAAATTATAATTTTTTTTTTCTTCTCCTTCTTGTTGATGGGCAATCCAACTTCCCAACACCTTTCATTGTTCTCAAACGGAAGAAAAGTGTTAAGAGACATGACATGCCTTGGTAGGATGTCTTATTCTCAAACCACTGTTTTAGCTAATGATGGTGCTACCAGCCTTTTTGTTTACAAATTCGTATTTAGTTTTTTCACAAAAATGCATGGTGGAATTTGAAAAATATCAACGCTCTCTATTTTAATATCATTCTAGATTAAAGAAAGATTAGCTTTGATCACTTCAGAGCATATATGTATATCTAATGCATATGGTTACACTGTACATTTCTACTACTGAAGCTAAGATGTCTAACAGTTTATATTGCATCTTTTACCATCAAAGTTTACACCGATTTTTATTTTGGTCATGAATGTGTTTTTTCTGCTATTTTTATCTTTCAACTTTCGACTTAAAGTCAATTTAGCCCAAATCAATTATGTGTCAAAAATTTGATGAAAAGTACCGCGTGTCACCATAGATAAGTGACATGTGTGCATAAAAAGCCACGTGTTGTTGTGAAAAATGTACGTATTTTATTTGGTGAAAAATTTGCCTACTATTATTGTAATTTGGATTGAACGAACACTGTGTCATAAGTTGAAACACAACGTGGCGCAAAAACATTTGAGGAACAAAGTGTGAATGGGCTGATACTTTAGAGGTTAATGAAAACTAAAATTTAAAATGCAAATCAAGTTTAAACTGCTAACAAAAAACTAACTCACATTAGGTCATGACCAACGGCTGACATTAAATTTCATGTTTCGAAACAGGCAAAATAGTCTAAATGTTTTCGTTTTTAAAGAGACCAACACAAATCAGTGATTAAATCAAAATTTTAATATTTTTAGGTGTTTTGACATATTTTCACCATTATTTTGGAATAGTTCAATGTGTTTCAAAATATTTCGGTAAATTTAAGGTATATTTCCGAATGTCTTAAAAATCAATCTCAAAATTTTTATTCCTTCTTATTCTGTTTCTTAAAGATTTCTGGTTTTTAAGTGATCAAAATAATATATCGAAATAAAATTTTGATCTTACATGAACAAACTTATTTTTTCTATGAAACTAGAAGTGTCAAAATTAAATTTTTTATAATTTCCATGCAATAATATACCATTTTTTTTTTTTTGAATCAGAAGATACCATTTAACAGTGTCTGTTACAAAACAACAAAGCATTTACCTAATATCCTTGACTTCCCCATGAAACTCGGCCAAGCTTATTATGTGCAGGTAA